GAATGGTTGATTGTGGAATTATATGTGGATTTCCACCTCTTTTTTCTTTTGGCCGTTGGTAAGGTGGGATTATCTATTGCCTGTGTTTTTCTGGTTGTAGTTAACTTCCTAGGGTTGGCGTTTTCCTTCCAAAACTTTCTGTAGGGCTGAGTTAGTGGATATGTATTGTTTAAATCTGGTTTTGTCGTGGAATATCTTGTTTTCTCCATCTATAGTGATTGAGAGTTTTGCTGGGAATAGCAGTCTGGGCTGGCATCCATGGACTCTTAATGTTGGTAGAATATCTATCCAGGACCTTCTAGCTTTCAGAGTTCCCATGGAGAAGTCAGGTATGATTCTGATAGGTTTGCCTTTGTATGTCACTTGCCTTTTTCCTTTGCTGCTCTTAATAATCTTTCTTTATTCTGTATGTTCAGGGTTTTTACTATTATGTGGTGAGGGGACTTCCTTTTGTGGTCCACTCTATTTGGTGTTCTGTAGACTTCTTGTACTTTCATTGGCATGTCTTTCTTTAGGTTGGGAAAGTTTTCTTCTATGATTTTGTTGAATATGTTTTCTGCCCCTTTGAGGTGGTTTTCTTCACCTTCTACTATACTTATTATTCTTAGGTTTGGTCATTTCACGGTGTCCCATATTTCCTGGATATTTTGTGTTGGGGATTTGTTGGACTTAAGATTTTGTTTGGTTGATGAATCTATTTCCCCAAGTGTATCTTCAACACCTGAGATTCTCTCTTCCATCTCTTGTGTTCTGTTGGTTATGGTAGTACCTGACCATTTGCCCAGCTTTTCTATTTCCAGCATTCCTTCAGACTGTGTTTTTTTTAATTGTCTCTATTTCAACTTTCAACCCTTGCACTGTTTGAATTGTTTCTTGCAATTTTTGCTTTGTCTTTTCCTCTTTCTTGCATTTGTTGGATTTTTTGGTTTGTCTTTCCTTCCATTTCTTGCATTTTTTGCATTTTTGGCTTGTTTTTTCTTCCATTTCTTTAAGGAATTTTCTCATATCTTCTTTGAGGGACTCTGTCATTTTCATGAAGTTGTTTTTAGATCTTTCTCATCTGCTTCAACTGCAGTGGGCTGTTCAGGTCTTGCGGGTGTAGTCGCTAGTCCCTTGTGGTGTCATATTGGTTTTTCTGTTGCTGGGTATGTTTTTATATTGTCTCCTTCCCATCATTTTTTCCTTTGGGTGCAGAATGAGTCTCTTCCTCTCCTGGTGGTATGTGACCACGGTTCCTTTCCAGTGGGTGGGAGCAGGTCCAATACCCTGGTGGCTTTCCTCTTTCATGGATGGAGGCCGTCCTAGTATCAGGGCATTGGCAATCTCTGAGTAGGCTGGACCCTCACCTGTCCCATGGGTGGAGATTGGGACTTGGATGCTGGCAGTCTCTGGGTGGGCTGGTTCCTGCTGGGATGGGAGCTGCAGTGTACAGTACCCTGACCTTGGCTAGTTGTGTGCAGATGACTGGAAGGCAGGCTGTAAACAGGTCCAGGCCTATCTAGCCCTGTGGGTGGAGAAAGGGACTATGGTGCTGGCAGTCTCTGGGAGAGCTGAATCCCGTTGGGCTGGCATCCGCTGTGTGCAGTCCTCAGGTCTCCAGTGGTTCTCTATTTTGTTATTTTTTAATGAGTGAATGAATTAATGAATACCTAGCCAGTAGAATAAAGATTAACAACTGAACTGTCATTTTTATACAGTTGCTGGGAGAGGGAAAAATCAGTTTTCTCCAATAAAGTAATCAGTAGACCTTGTGTTCAGGAGTAGTTGACCAACACGGGTTTTTTTTTTTTTTGAGGGGGGTACTTTTATTTGGTTACAGTTTGGTGATTTTTTTTCATCTTTGGGTGTATTTATACTTTGTCTTCCTGGTTTGGGGGGTTGTTGCTATATTAGGGTTTTGGTTTTTGGTTTTTTTTTTGAAAAAGAACTTCAAGTTGGGTGGGTAGTAAGGAGGAGATGATTTGCAAGGACTTGACACAGGGAAGAATATGATTAAAATACATATAAATGTAAAAATTACTCTAAATAATAAAATATAAGAAAAAAAGTAGTGACCCACTATTAACTAAATCTTATCACCAGTAGCAGGGACTATGCTGCTACCACTACAGCAAGGTGGTATACCATCTTATCCCACATGAGAAAAGATACCCATGTTGGGATTGCCCCTACAGATGCTAGATCAGCTTCAGTTCATATCTTACCCATTGCAACAGCAAGTAATTGTTCTTATCAAATTCATCTTTATTTCTGTCAGGTGCCTATTTAGGGTCCAATCATGTGTATGACTTTTCTTGTGCAGAAGTTAATCTAGGCATGTTAATCCTAGGCATGGTGCTAAAGACAGAACAAAGAAACCTTTCTGCCCAAGTCTAGCTTGGTGAGCCCATGAGTTTAACAGTGCTGCTTATAGAGGCATGGGTGAAAGATTACCAGCAGGAGCATGGTTGACTCCAAAGTAACTAAATCACTGAAAAGTTCCCCTAACATGCTGATGCACACAAAGCTTGTTACTGCAGTCCCTAAACAGCTTGCAGGCAGACTGCTTCTGTAGTGACTTTCTACTGCTTATATCACCTTTCAGAGGGGTCTCTTGGGTAATAACTTACTGAGCTTCCTGATTGACTATGTTTTGTGATCTTTCTAAGCCATATGAATCTTCCTTTTCCCTCTAGGAGGGAGTGTTTCAGTTCAGAGGAGACGACATGAATCAACAGAATTAATACTGTTAAAAGAGCTATTACCAAGAAAGGATTTACAAACTCAGTGTAATAATCATAAAATTCCAGTAGCATTCTTCCCCAATACAGAAAAGGAAATTCTAGAGCCCATATGTAATATGAAATACACAGAATGGTCGAAGCAATCCTGAGTAAAAGGAACAGTGCAGAAGTCATCCAGTACCTTACTTTATGTTATAAAATTGTATTAGCAGGAGTAATATGATTCTGGCAGAAAAGTGACAACACAGACCAATGGAATAGACTGAGGAGGTCTAGAAAATAGCTCATTAACTACATTCATCTGAATCTTGACATTGGAAAAACATAGCCACTTTAATAAGGAGTACTAACAAAACTGGATGTCCACACATAGAATACTGAAATGGATTAATAACTAAAACAAGAGTAAAATGACAGACTCTAGATATCCCCTATGTGGAAGGATTTGGCAATAGGGTGGGAGGGAGGGGGAAGGGGAGTGCAGGAGGAGGGGAGGGAGAGGGAACTGGGATTGACATGTAAAACAAGCAATTTAAAATTAAAAAAAAATAAAAAAAGAAGAAAAAATAAAAAAGAAGAAAAAAACACATAAAAAAATAACTAAAACAAAAAGAATCAAGCATTAAACTAATATTTACATAAATGACAAAAAAGCAAACAATAAATGGGCAGTGGAAATGAATTGACACTTTTCAGGTAAAAGTACAAATAATAAATACATGAAACAAAAAGTTCAGACTTAGCCATCAGGAAAATGGAAATGAAAACTACAGTGAGATTCAATTCACCACAATCAGAATGTCTACTATCAAGAAAACAACAAATAATGCTGGAAACAATATAGAGAAAAAGAACCCTTTATATTGAGGCGGTAACTTAGTGTAGCAACTATGGAATCAGTATGGAACCTTCTCAACACAGAACTACCTTATGACTCAGATGTGCCACACCATTATATGGAATCTACCTGGAAGTCAATCAGTAAGTAAAGAAAAGTAGCATATATACATGCATAATGGAATTTTACTCCCTATAAAGAAAAATGAAACTATGTCATTTGTAGGAAATTGGATGGAAAAGAAGATCATCATGTTATGAAGTAATCCAGATCCACAAAAGCAAGTAAACGAAAAAGCATATCTTTCATATGTTTAAAAACTAAATGTGTAAAAGAAGAAGGAAAAAGAACTGAATGGGATAATATGAGACTATAGGGTGATTATGATCAAAGTACATTATATGCCTTATGGAAGTGTCATAATGAAATGCCTTACTTTGTACAAGTAATACACACTTGAAAACATTCCAGCAGGAAAATTCTCATATGTTCATAGGATTATAGACCAGACACCTTGTTCAAACAAATAATTTTAAGTTAATGTTCAAAACTAGAGAAGGTGAGTATAACAAGTCCCGTGGTAAAACCAACTCCAGAGAATAACAGCCTCCTTTTCTCTATCTGTGTGCTCTCAAATGCAAAACTGATTCATTGCAGCTGAATAAGAAGAAAATTCCATCCCATTGTGTATCTCTTCCAGTGTCTCCTTTCTGATAAGCTGATAAACACAAAAAGGAATTCCTCATTCCTATAACCTTTAAAAAATACCACATTTGTATATCCTTTGGGGGCTTAAAGAGTATGGCTCTTTCATGCTTGCAAAGTATTTGTGAGGCCCTGTGTTAAATCACCAGTAGTACACATAAAAAAAAAAATAAAGGTTTCTCTATAATCTTGATAAAGTTTCCTTACCAAATATATGATTTGTAGGAGTTAAATTTCACTTTGTTGATGGTGTTCTTTGTAGCATTCAAGTTTTTATGAATTTTATTGAGGTTCTGTTTATCCAGCTCTTATTAGTACTATTCCTTCATTGTGTGTTTTGGGGGGTTGTTTTTGGTTTTTTGTTTGTTTTTTGGGTTTCTTTTTGTAGCCCTGGCTGTCCTGGAACTCATTCTGTGGACAAGGTTGACCTTGAACTCACAGAACCACCTCTGCTTCCTGAGTGCTGGGGTCAAAGATGCGTGCCACCATCACCCAGCTGTTATGTGTATTTTTAAAGCATAACTTTTAAAACAAAGTCATGAAGATTTCTACCTTCATATTCTGATTCTTCTAAGAATTTCACTATTTTAACTTTTGTGATTAGAGCTCTAATCCATTTTGAGTTAACTTTAGTACGTTCCTTGAAAATTTAGCTTCATTCTTTTGCATTGAAATGTCTGAATTTATAGCCCCTATGTATAACCTATGTGTGTTTTTGTTGTTTTTCATTTTAGGCTCCAGCACAGTGTTTACCAGGGCAGTGGCAGTGGGGGGTTCCCCAGGTAAATATCCACTTCCAGTGTCTAATTTAAAATTTTTTCTTCTCACTGTATTTATTAGAATCTCTGAAAATGAAAGTCAAGATAATTAGGCTTATAACCTTCCTCTATTTATAACAGTTTCCTTTATCTACTGCACTTCACCCCCTCTCTGTAAGATGCATGCAGTGATGTTTCCTTTAACTACCTCAGAACTTCCTCATGAGTAAAATAAAATGGTTGTAGTGAGATTAGAACCTTGTAAGTTTTCTTCTATTATTTTTGGGAAAGTGAAATGAGATCATATTAGTGGAAAACATAAAGGAGTGCTATATGAACATAAAAAATAATTTTGGCACTTTTGTTATTGTTGGAAATGTTGGCATTTTTCTAGCTTCACCTCATATTTTTGCTTTAGTTTGTCTTGTGCTCCTAAATAAAAGGTTGAGTACCCATTATCTGAAATGACTGATACCAAAACCGTTTAATATTTTAGATTTGGGGATATTTACATATCTTTATTGGATAAATACTCCTAATCCAAAATCTTCTCTAAAATCTGAAGTCTCAAAGGTGTTTCACCTGTACTCTTTTTTTTCCAATTTTTTTCCTAAGAAAGTAGTATTACCAAAAAATTAGTAGTATTTTCTTACAGCTATGTGAAGTCACAAAATTGAAAGTAGACATTTAGACCAATTTAAATATGATAGGTCATATTACTATAACTTTTAATGATAGTAATAAATTTACAATTATTGTCTGTTTCTGTGTGAGGCTCTGAAGCACTATAAACATTCAGTACTTGCCATTAATAAAGTCTCATAATTATATATACCTATACACCTGAAATGTATGACAACTCAGATTTCCTCATCTGTTTCTAAGATAATTCTGTGCTATCCCTGAAAAATAATTTTAGGAAAATATGCAACAAATTTTATTTTCATTTTAGGGTAAGCCATTTTGGCTTAGCAGAAATAACTAATACTTGAATAACAAGGATTGTTTTGTGTTTTAGTCCCCTGCCTCTTCTGCTCCATTCTTGTATCTGCAGCCCTCTGAGGTTATTTATCAACCAGTAGAAATTGCACAAGATGGCGGCTGTGTTCCTCCTCCACTGTCTCTGATGGAAGCTTCTGTCCCAGAGGTACACATTCATCCTTTTCTTTGTTTTTCAATTGTTCAGTGTTGGAAATTGTACCCAGGGCCTTGTAGGTTCTAGAAAAACCACTGCAGCTGAGGTACATACTCAGCTCTGCTGTTTGTGGTGAGATGCTGGGTCTGTAACCACCTTGTAGTAACTCTATTAAATTTGCTTATTTTATGTTTTCTCTGATTTATTCATAGCTGCCTTTTTTATTCTAAGAGTGTTGCTTCATCTTAGAACTTTTCAGTAAATAGTCCTGAATCACTTTCCAAGTTCCTTCTTTTTTTTTTTTTTTTTTTTTTTTTTGGTTTTTCGAGACAGGGTTTCTCTGTTTTGTTTTGGAGCCTGTCCTGGAACTTGCTCTGTAAACCAGGCTGGCCTCGAACTCACAGAGATCCGCCTGCCTCTGCCTCCCAAGTGCTGGGATTAAAGGTGTGCGCCACCAATGCCCGGCTCCAAGTTTCTTTGAAAGTTTTAAGCTATGAAATATTTGTTCCTACTCATTTTCTTGTAAGTCTGTGTTGTTGCTAATAATTTACCAGTTAAAAGCATATAATCTTTAAACCAATTTAAAATTTAAAATTATTCCTATAACAATATAAATTAGCTACAAATTAAAATATCTGCAGTGTCTTTAAGTTATATCCTCGGTGCAGGAACTGTGCAAGTGATGTGGTGTTTTAAGTCAGTGTCTAACCAAGTGTATTGTTTTGTTACCTCTATAGTACTAAAGTTTATAACATAATTTTATCCTGGAACATTAGATCTGTTTGTACTCTCCATACTTTTACTAGAATTTCTCCATTTTTGTCTCATCCTCCATTTATTTTTGTTTCCTCTTTTCTAGATTTAGTGAAATATAATTGAGTAGAGAAATTGTACTGTAAATGTTAATTAACTATGACATTTTGTAATTCTATGCATTCTAAACTAATTACCATAGGTCAAGGTAATTCATCTCTTCATGTTGTTATTCATTTTTTGTTTTTAGTGAAAATGTTTAAGATGTCTCAGAAGTTTTCGTTTATAACCCCTTAGTATTCCTCACAGTCATAACTATGCTGTATGGTGACTCTCCAGAACACTTCCACTCTTCCTGTTCCTGTCACTTCTATTTGAATAGCATCTTCCCATCCTCCTCCCCATCCATGAAAATCACTATTTTAGTCTCTGTTTCTGTGAATTTAGCTTTTCAGATTCCACTGAGAAGCTTTTATCTCTCTGTACTTAGTTTATTCCATATGTCTTCCAGGTTTATCCATGATATCATAGCTGACAGAATTTCTTGTTTTTAAGACTAAACGTTATTCTGTTGTTCATAGCCCACATTGTCTTCATACATCAATGAACACTAAAGCTGATTCTATATCAGTGCAACTCAGTAAGACAAGAATATTGGAGGGGTTTGGGGTAGGGCTTCTAGTACCGGGAAACAAATCTAAAGCTTTGTGTACTGTTAAGCAAATACTATAACATGAAGCCACGTTTCCAACTCCTTTGTTGTTGTGAATAATGCGGCAATGAGTTTAAGAGTTCAAATCTCTGTAACAAGTTGGTTCATTTTGTGTGTGTGTGTGTGTGTGTGTGTGTGTGTGTGTGTGTGTGTGTGTGTGTGTGTCCAGAAGTAAGGGTATACTGAATCATATAGTAGGTTTTTTTTAGAAAGCCACATGCTAATTTTGCTTAAAGCTATCCTAATTTACATTCACTCCACTGTCCATACCCTTGCTAGTGATCATTTTAGTTCCTATCATAATTTCTTCTCATACTAGGTTGTCTGTATTGAGATGTAACAGTTACACTTATTCTAACCTTCACCCTGTTTCACCTCTGGCAGTGTTATTTGGCTAGAAGCCTACAGTGTAGACAAGAAGAGTAAGTGACACAGACATCATTTCTCCTTGAGATTCCCTCCTTATTGTTCAGCATTGTAAAATTGAATCTTTGTTTTTACCTTGGCCCAGCCATACAAGCCTCTAAAGAATCTTTGGGTAACCTTTCATTGACATCTAGGGAACTCTTCATTCTTGTTGAATAAAAGCCTCAGAATCCTTATGTTTGTCCAAATTGCACAGCATAGGTACACATATACATGGTTTGTGATTTGGAAACCATGGGTATTTTCATATTTAATTGATGATGAAATTTCAAAAAATTTTTAATTTATTTAATTTAGAAACAATCTTATTTTATATATCAATTCCAGTCCCCTCTCTCTTCCATCCTCCCATGTCCCCTACCAGCATCCCCATCCTATCTCCCATCTACTCCCCAGAAAGGGTGAGGCCTTCCATGGGGGATCATCAAAGTCTGTCATATCATTTTGGGGAGTGCCTATGTCCTCCTCCATGTATCTAGGTTGAGAGGTATCCCTCCACGGGGAATGGGCTTCCAAAATCCATTTTTGCACTAGGGATAAATACTGGTTCCATTGTCAGAGATTGTCCCATAGATTGCCCAGGCCTCCTAACTGACACCCGTATTCAGAATGCTTGGTTTGGTCAACGCTGGTTCCCCAGATTTACAACTGGAGTCTGTGTGCTCTCACTTGGTCAGGTCAGCTATTTCTGTGGGTTTCTCCAATGCAGTCTTGACCCTTTTGCTCATCACTCCTCCCTCTCTACAACTGGATTCTAGGCTCAGGGATTAGCTGTGGGTGTCTGCTTCTGCTTCTGCTTCCTTAAGCTACGGGAAGAAGACTCTAAGATGGCATTTAAGATAGTCATCAATCTCATTATAGAGGAAGGGCATTTAAGGATTTAAGGTAGCCTCTCCACTATTGCTTAGATTCTTAGTTGGGGGTCATGAAATTTCAAAATGTTGTCTTTTGTTGTTTTCTTGCCTTCTGGCTTGCATAGAGGTGGGAGTAAAGTAAGAATTCTTTTACTTTAGATAGTTCACCAAAATCTACTTTTTTTTTGTTTTTTCAAGACAGGATTTCTCTGTGTAGCTTAGGACCCTATCCTGGCACTTGTTCTGTAGACCAGGCTGGCCTTGAACTCACAGAGATCCACCTGCCTGTGCCCCCTCCCAAGTACTAGGATTAAAGGCCACCAACGCCCAGCGTTTTGAGCATACTCTTAACCCGTTATCAGACACTCACCATCAGTGTGTATTCACTCCATATCTAACCTAGTAAGTTTTTTTTCTAAAACCACTGCTGTGACTGTGTAGCTTGTACTTTACATGTACTTCCATACTTAATGAAACCTGTCTTCTTTTATGTTGGTGCTGTTTCCAATAGAATGTATACTCTTATTAACATGTAATTTAATAAATAGACTATAGTGGTTTATAGTTTAAGTGGTTTTTTCACAATTAAAATCTGCAGGGCTTTTGTTATGAATGTTATGATCAGGTTTCCTAAAAAGAAAACAAGTATGTTAATATAATTGGTCACTTATTTCAATCTTTATCAAACTTCTACCAAATCTTTACTACAGATCCCCCCATTTCTGTCTTAGAATAAATCTGTGCTTTCTCTTTCATAAAAGTTGAAAGCAATTCACAGAAACCAACTTAGCCTCCAACTCCTAGCACACAAACTTAAACAGGTCCTAATGCACCTTATGGGTTTTTTTATATTTATTTGATAACTTGGTCTTGTCCAAGGTTCTGTCTACCTATTGTTCTCTGGAAACCTTCACTGCCTTCCTCACATGGGATCCCAGTTCATCCTGTAGTCCATTTCCGCCTTGTATTTTAAGTCAGTTTCTCTCGGCTGGTTCACAGCTTCACCACTTTACTGTGATTATTAGGGAGTTATTTAACTTCCACAGTTGTCTTCTCATAATGACCTTATTTTTACAAGTGAAGGGAGGCATCAAGAAAACATATTGCAGTATTAAAAGATTAAAGCTGTTTGATACAAAATTCATTGAATATCTGTAGCACCTTTGAGAAGTAACTATTATCTTTTTACACATCCTTTCCGAGATCCCCTAGTTCTCTTCTGCCTTTCAAAACAAAGATTTTTTTGAAATTGTTTTATTTAAATTAGAAACAAGCTTGCTTTACATGCCAATCCCTCCCCTCCTCCTTCACCCTCCCACCCCGCTCCCCAGCCTCCCACCCAATCCCCACTCTGTTCACCAGGGAGGGTGAGGTCCTCCATGGGGGATCTCTAGAGTCTGTCATTTCGTTCAGGGCAGGACCTAGGCCCTCCCCCATGTGTCCAGGCTGAGAGAGCATCCCTTATTGTGGGATGGGCACCCAAAGTCCATTTGTATGCCCTGGATAAATACTGATCAACCAAGGCCTCATAGAATGCCTAGGCCTCCTCACTGACACCCACATTCAGGGAGTCTGGGAGTACCATGCTGGCCTCCCAGCCATCAGTCTGGGATCCAAGAGCTCTTCAAAACAAAGATTCTTGAAAAGATAGACTGTGTTCGATATCTTTACTGTCCAGCACCATTTCATTCCACACCTGCCAAAGTCTACTTCATTATCTTTCTGCATAAGCTGCCTTTGAGAAGATTCCTTAATGACATCCTAATTACTAAATACTTTCCTCCCCTCTTAATCTTACTTAACCTTTCAGGAATGCTGTATATATTTCGTGATCTGTCTGACAGCTGTGTTTACACAGCACTGCCCTCTCCTGGAATTCCTTTACCAGCTTTTATTTTCCTTTGTAAGCTAACTTTTTTGCTCTCCATCATTTCATGTTTGGCTCCCCAGTCTTTCACCCTATGTACTCAGTGTGATGTTACCCTATCAATATCTCTAATGTCGGCAACATGCTTGAGTTTTATACCACAGTAGCTGAGATAATAGTCACTATCTATCTGTAGCACTTGAACACTTGAAAAGGGAAAAGAACAAATAAAGATGTCCTGTAAGTGTAAAATATATATCAGGTTGTGAAAACATGGTACTAAAAATTTTTACAAAATCAGTAATTGAATAATTATTATAGTTTAGATAATATTTTAATCTATTGGTTTAAATATACACTTATTATCCATTCATCTGTTGGTTGGTAACCAGGCTGATTCCATTTCCTTTCTGTTATGAATAGATCAGCAATAAACATGGGTTTGAAGTATCTCTGTGTAAGGTAGAGAATCACTTGGGTATATATCCAGGGTTGGTGTACCTGGGTCTTATGGTAGATCTATTTTTAATTTTTTGAGAAACCTTTATACTTATTTCCAGAGTGATAGTACTAAGACTACCACCAACAGTAAAATGTCCCTCTTTTCCCCACTCCCTTACCTGCATTGGTTACCATTTAAATCTGCTTTTAAATAGTCTGTCTTCTGTTAATGGATCTCCTGCCTAATTTCCCCCTTTAGTGTATAATGTTCTTTCCAGCCTATCAAACAACCTAAGTAGGTCTCCCAAAAGAGATGTCTTATTGTCACCAGGTCTTTAAATCAAATACCGGTGCCACTAGGAAATTTCTCTATGACCATCTTCCCCAATTTTCTTAAGCATAATTTTTAGTATTTTTGAGTATTCTTTATTCCCTATTCATCATATACATAACTCACAGTACATGTGATGATTTAGAATATTGTCAATTTCTTCATCAGACTACAAGTTCATTAAACATAGTAAATGGGGTTTTGTATGTGACACAAGGCATATCACATAGTAAGTTCTGGATATTTTAATAAATGAATGTAACACTACTTTTTTTCTCTTCCCTCCTCTCATTTCCTCACTGCCTCTTTTGTAACAGCCGTATTCTGACCATGGAGTTCAAGCAGCATATCACCAGGTTTATGCTTCAAGCGCCATTGCTATGCCTGCACCTGTGATGCAGCCTGAGCCAATTAAAGTAAGGAGTTCATTTTGAGTTCTTTCTGTTATTCTTCTATTATGCTCTGAACATTTTTTATCCCAACTATGATCCAAAAACTACAAAATTGGTGAATTATTTTATATGGAGAAAATAAATTCTAAATTAACTATAATTCCTATTAACTAATTGTGAAATGTTGTAAACCATTCATGGTCAAAATGTTTTATTTGTTGTGATATAGGGATACATAAACTTGAGTTTATAATTTTAATTATTTTAAGTGTCTTTAATTATGTTTACAGCACTGTGAAAATTATTACCAGAATTTCCAACCTTTTCCATTACCACAAATAGAAACTCTGTTCTCTTCACACAATAAATCCTCCTTCCTTTTCATCCTCTCTGAAGTCCCTGGTAATCTTTAATCTACTTTTTATGTCTAACTGTCCTGTTCTGGACATAGCACATATTATTGTCTGTGTCAGTAATACATAGTATTTGTGGGGAGATAAAACAGCTAATTATCTCCACTTTATGTTTAAAAATTATATTTGGCTTCTCTGAATCAGATTCAGGCCAAAGAATAGTGTATCACCCAATTAGGTCTAATCTAACTAGATTCATGTGTATATTCTCTATATTTTGGTCATCTGCTATGAAGCAAGAGATTCCTTTATTACTGAATTTCATGTCAGAGAAATGGACTTCATCATAGTACATAGTACATAATTGCAGATTATTATTTTGGTGGTAATAGAAATTTTTGTTCATTTTAGTTTAGTGGAATAAGGAAGTATACTCTGAAGTAAATGAAAGAAAATGGCTATTTTGCACTCATATTTATGACTCTGATCCATTATATTATTGAACTCTATATTAAGGATCTTCTATTTCCTCATGCTCTGTCCCCACCCCTGCCCAGTAACCACTCACTGCCATTACTACACATTGTATCCCTTCATTCCCTGTGCCATTGTACTGTGGATATGAAATAGGAATTTTTGTTTCACATTAAAATCTAGAATGTTAACAATACTTACAGAGGCTTCATTTTCAGAATTAGAAAATCCTCTAAAACAGACTGCCCCTAATGTTAATATCATCAATTGTTGAATATGGTGGATTAGGTATATATGTCAAGGAGTAAGGGAGGGATAGAGGGGGAACATCAAAATAACTGAAATCATAGCTTAAATAATTCAAATAGGAGATAGGGTGGTACTATAATGTTCATTTAAAGTTTGATTTTTCTACTTGAAAACTGTGTACATCTCTAAGTCATCTTCAGTCTCTAAGTAGGTAACATCAGAAACTGTAAAAAGAAACTCACCTTACTCTTAAATTTACTCTTATAGGAATTATTCTTTTGTTGAACACTGAAAAAATAATAAATTTTCAAATGCAAAACTGGAATGCAAGGTTATTATATAAAAAACATTATACTTCTTTTTGTGTTTCAATAAAAGGTAGAGTTTCCTATGTATCTTATACCCAAAACTTTTTGGTGGTGACAGTCATTGATTCCATGGCCTGATACATCTTGGCAAGCACTCTACCACCAAAGTACTATAATCAGAAGTTTTGGTGTAGAGTTCCCTATGCATTATTTAATTAATTGTTCTTCAATGATTAGTGGCTCTCAGTAGAAATCTGTGTCTGTCTAGGGGACAGAAACTCCACTACCACTTCCATAATCATGTAGAACTTCCAAACAGTGTTTTACTGCGTAGGCTTTACTGCATAGAAGATTATCCACTTTTGTTTGTACTGCATTTGTATTATAAACATAGAAATCTTCATAGGCAAGTGTTACATTATTAGAAACATCTTATAAGACATATGTAAACAAACTTGAAAATATTAATGGGAACTTGAAATATCAACTATTTTCTTTCTATGTAAATTTTTCCTGGTACTAAAAAGCCTGTCTTTTTTAGAGTTTTTGAATCTTTTGATTATTTTATTTTTATAATCACAAATCACTTTGAAAACTGATGAGAAGGTTGATTTTCTAACTGCATTTCTGTTGCAATAATAAAATACTCTGAACAAAAAACAATTTAGAAGAAAGGGTTCACTCAACATAACACAATTTCAAGGATCATTTTGAGGATGTCAAAGCAGGAACTCAAGTAATTAGTCATATGACATTCGCAGTCAAGAGCAAAAGGAGAATAAGCATGTTGTTCCTTGTTTGTTCCTTTGTGTTTAGTTAGCTTTCTTCACTCCTGTACAATTTAAGAACCAGCCCCTTAAATATGTCTCCCACAATGGATTGGGCCTTCCAGCATAAATAAACAACCAAGGCATACCACAAGACAACCTAATCTCGGTAATTCCTCATTTAAGACTTTTCCCAAGCAATTCTAGGTAGTACCAAATTGACACTTAAAACTAGCACCCACATGGTAGCTCACAACCCTCTATATAGCTTCAGTCCCAGGGGATTGGACACCTTTTTCTGACGACTGTGGGCACCAGGTATGCACATATACGTACAAACAGACATTCATACATAAGATAAAAGTATTTTTAAAACAAAAATCAAATGTAACTCAAACTTTTGTTTAGTTCACCTCACCAATCAAATTGCATAGCTTAGCAACTCAGTACACTACAGTGTATCAGTTGCATCCTTGTAATTTCATGGCTTACAGGAAACTTGTGCCCAACATTTAAGGATATCGTGACATATACTGAGTCCTGGAAAAATCAAAATTTCAAACTAGAGCTGTGATTTTCACTGAATGAGTATGATCTTTGCACTGTTTCAAATCAACATATAAATCAAACCACTCTAACTTGGGTTCTATCAGTATATACCAACTATATCAGATGCTCTAAAATAACTAAGAAATTAAACATTTAATTAAGTACATAATTTACTTGCTGATAATGTGTGGTTTATCATTTTCTTGTCTTTGCTGTTCCTAACATGTTGAAATTAAATCTAAGATGATCTCCAAAGAGTCAACCTGAACATTATATCCCTTATTATACTTTGAAATGTTAATAGTGATGGATGAAGAAATAAGGCCTATATATTGTCTTCAATATCTTTGAAGCAAGAAGGAATGCCATACTGATTCTTGATGATGTCACTGCTCCCAGTTATTTATTTCATCTCTGGGTTCAAGGAGGGATTTTTAGATTATTTTACATGTATAGGTATTTTGCCTGCATGTGTGTATGTGCACCAACTGGTGCCTCAGAGGTCCACAGAGGGCATCAGATCCCCTAGACCAGATGGTTGTGAACCACCATGTGGGTACTGGGGATTGATTGAGTCTAAATCCTCTGCAAGAGCAACAAGTATTCTTAACCACTGAGCCAACCTTGTACATTGAGTTTTATTCTGGTTCAAAGACATACACAGATCTCAAGAGTCTACAATAGGAGTGCATTAAAGATGACTTTGTTTCCTTTGTAATCTCTCTGTTACTCACTTTTCCTGTCATAAATGATTGAAAAAGAACAACTTGGATTTTAATAACAAAAAAAACTTTATTTTTAGCTTGTTAGGTTTCATTGTCTCAGAGTTTTCTAGCCATAATCTTTGACTCCATTGATTCTAGACCAATGATGAAGCAAAATATGGTGGAACAGAAGTGGAGGATACAAGATACAGCTCACTAAGTCACATCCACAGTGCTCTAGTCCTTCCAGCTAGACCTTATCTCCTAACATTTCCAGAGCCTACTAAAATAGTGCCACTATCTAAGAACCAACTCTTCTAGAATGAGCCTGTGTGGGACCTTTCATATTCAAACTGTGCCATTTTGCCCATGGGCTCCAAAAACTACATCTATTTGATAATGCAAAATGTGTTTAGTCCATATCGAAGAATTCCTATAATTTTAACACTTGCAACATTGTCCAAAAGTTAGGTTGACAGTCTCTTCTAATACTCAAGGCAGACTCTGAGGATGTCACTCAGTTGGTAGAGTGTCTAGCATGTCATAGCAATGAACTCCACTTCTCTGGTACCAGTTTTCTTCAATGCCATTCTTTTTATCGCTATGGGAAAATATACCAGATATAAACAACTTAAATGGAGGAAGGACATATTTTGACTCTTGGTTTCAGTATATTCAGTCTAGCTCTGTTGATTCTGCACAAACTGTTTACCTCATGGTAGGTGGGAAACAGAAAAAGAGAAAGAAGACCCTGTGACAAAATACATATTTAAGGATCCCTAGTAATGAACTTTCAACCAGGCACTACCTCCCAAAGTTGGAAGAGCCTCCCAAATATTGCTACAAGATGGAAATCAGTCCTTCAACAGTAAGGAGAAGGATGGCTCATATTCAAACTATAACATTATCTTAGGTATTTCTTTTTATGTTTTTTAAAAATGTTCTGAGAATAATTCTGATAGCCTCAGTGGGCTGCTGAAAGATTACATGAATAGATTAAATAGTTAAAGAATCTCTAAATGCTAGATAAATTGACACACATCTCTAATCCTAGCACTTGAGAAGTTAAGCTAGGAGACCACAAGTTGTAGGGCAGCCTGGGCTACATACCCAACCTTGTATAAGAAAATGAGCTTCTGGATTAGAGTTACTTTATTTTACTTGTAACACATTTTATAAGATCTTCATAATTATCTTTTTTTTGTTGTTTGTTCATGGTACTGGGAACCAAAACTAGGGCCCTGAACTTGCTTGACATTTGGCCACTTAGCTAAAGCCCAGTCTTTCTGTTTTCTGCATTCTAAGAAAGTACTTTGATCTTTCGAACAGCACCGAAGAAGTTATTCAAACTGTATAAACAATGGTACGGGCAATAGTGAGAAAGAATAACAACCAAAGATGAAAATCACAGTTTACCAGAGTAAATAATTGCAGACTTCTACAACAAACATTCTAAGTAATGTAGCTTTCCATATAAAACAGTAATAGTCTTACAGTTAAAAAGTCAAAGTTTGAGGCCGGGCGTTGGTGGCGCACGCCTTTAATCCCAGCACTTGGAAGGCAGAGGCAGGCGGATCTCTGTGAGTTCGAGGCCAGCCTGGTCTACAAGAGCTAGTTCCA